AATAAATATATAACAAATAATATATATATATATATATATAATAATATATATTATATATATATATTTATATTTATATGTATATATACATACATATATATTTATATATATATATATATATTTAAATATATAGTAGCCTAAAAGTCACTAATAAGGTATGTGTATTTTAGATACATGTGTGTTTTTATAGAACGAATGTTAGTTAATGTACCCGAGTTCAAGGAAGAGAGCATAGGTGTGAGATAGGTGCTGCTGTACTCCATAGATTATTTGAAGCGCAACGTTGAGTGCGATGTGGTTTAAATCTGCACAGTTGAAACTACGCGTACGCACAGAATAACTCTTTCGTAATATAAACTCCAGTTTGTACCCGCAAAAAAGCCCAGGATAGTCTCGACAAACGCACGCTCGTCGGCTCTCAGCTTGGGTACTAAAATAATAAAAGTTAATAAAAACCCATTTTTATTTTGTTTAAAAAGGGCGATTTTACATTTGGTATGAAATAAAGGCATTTTGACATTTGGCATAAAAAAAAGGTAAATATGCCACTAAAAAAAGAGTATTTCCAAAATGGAAAAGGTATTAATCAATAAAACCATTAGAAACCATTTTAGGAAACTTAAGTTCCTCGTGCTATTAAGAGTACATTTAGGAAACTTAATTTCCTCGTACTATTAAAAGTACATTTAGGAAACTTGTTCCTCGTTCTATTAAGAGTATGTTTATAATTTACGTACTGCTCAAGAGTACATTTTAGGCCCGGCATATTACATCATGGGTCCCAATTGGCTCGATTTCGCTGCCACCATCCGTAGTAACCCTTGTAATAAATAACCTATGTGATCCTATATATTCACATTTGAGGCTATAAACTATCGGTTCAAATATCTTGAACTTACTTATTTCCCGTAGTGTACATGGACACCACTACATGCGCATGTAACCTGTTGGCCAATTTCTGACTATCGATTTCGCCAACTTACTAAGTTTCCTTTTGCGTCAGATGCTCACTATCTTGTTGTATTCATAGTATGTATCGACAGCCGTAACTCTACCTATTCTATCCTTAACATTTGCTTTAAAATGTATCATGGACACCTCATGTTATATTCGATCTTAGGCATCAACTAACGTGTTCACATCATAAGGTGTCTATTCTAGGGTAAGACTGTGAATCTTTGTATGTTATATTTCAACGTCCAACTATATTGCAAACCCCAACATTTTGCTCTACCAACTTCTCAGCTCTGTAATACCAACTGACTCGTTATAGACATATACGCTTCTCAGTCTTTCTACCGTAGTTTCTAATGAACCTCCTCTTTCCTAAGTACCCCTCTTAGCAGGTTCAGGCTTGACACTTGTACGACATCACTGCACACTCTACTACCTCATACACCACAACATTCAACCTCGAAACCTTCCCTAAAACATCTCTACTTATCTGCGTCTTCTAGTTGGTCCCTTGTCTTCGTCATATCATCTTCCTGGGCCCGTTCTTGTCGTTCTTGTGCCTTCGATGTATTCGACTGTGTAGGTTCCTCTTCGGATTCGACCGTGGGGTCAGTTTCTACCTTTGTCTTGCGGCCCAAGTAACGTTGGCTAACCGGATAGACAAACCCAAAGCGCTCAAGATGTCGGGCCATGCCGAATCTGGTTATTCTGAAGCTACTGCTGTTCACCTCGGGGCTCCTGTGTGGTTCCCAGCGATCATGCTGGCTATTCCGTCTCCCCGACATTAAAGGTGGCATAGTAGCACTGGCATCGCTACTCGTTTACTTGTTATCCTCCTCTTCAGCGGGTAGATTTTGGAAGATATCGACATTTTGTTGCGACATCTTAATATTCCAATTGTATTCGATGTCCCTTTCACTTTTAGTCTTATTCCTATAAAAAAATCTGACAGCTACTGTCTATCTCCTGTATAGTAGCTACTTCTTGATTACTAATAAATTAACAACATCTATGGTAAGTTAAAATGTCGTAAGTACACGTTAAGATTACTGTATCTCAACGTTCTCCCGCCAAAGGGAGAAAGACGTTGTTCTTTTACTAGTATTCTTAAAAATCATAGTCATATGCTGATTTTATAATTGATAACTTTCTAGTTGATGAGTCATGGGCGAATTCTATTAATCGGTAAAAGTTTATCAGATCCTTCTGATAACCTGTAATAAACCTAAGTGTAAACCTACCTGGTGTATTCCGACTACATCGACTGCAGTTTTTGTTCGTTTTCGACCTTGTCTGCAACGATATAAGAAGAGCCTGTCTTTATACCAAGTACTGTACAATTGTGTCAGCAATCACAAGTTTTGAATATAAATATAATCATTACGTTACTCAAATATAGTCTTTACACCAACTCAATTATCAGAGATATACAGCCTGAAAAACATACTTTCACTGGTTTCCATGTCACATTTTACTGGCGAGGTTTCGTCTGTATGGGTGTCGGATGGTTATCAGCGTCTGTGACGGACGCAATGATATCTGTGACAGGGACGTGACAGGGCGAATTAAACTATGGAATTCAGACTTTGTATCAATTTATTCTGTGAGACACATTTCGAAAATGTTCTATATTCATTCGAAGCGCCACTGAAATCCCATACATACCGGCAAGACCAGTCGAGGCCATTAAGAGGTAAATTTCCCTCTCCTTTTCATATTACTTGATAATTTGATGCAAAGAAGCTCCCTTTTGATGTTCTCCCGAATCAATCGCTTGTTCCCATTATGGCATCAGTTTCTCTATACATGTAGTAATGCGGCTTATATTTTCCCTGTGAACGGATTTTCGTGTATGTCACGAATTTATATATATATTACAATTCCTTCCCTTATCAGCAAAAAAAGCCGAATAGATATGTTGTAAACGAGACAACGATATATTCTTGTACATCTGGCTAGATAAGGTTTCCAAAAATATTCCCATTCATTCCACGAAACCCTCGTCACGCCAATTCGTGGCAACATTATCTCCATCAAGAGAAACAAAGCGAGGTACTTGCGTACTAGAGTTGGAAGCAAATAAGTCGATGCTAGGTTAAAAACAAGAAATGATACACAGGAAATAAATATCTGACGAATCAGTGTCCAGGCTTTGGATTTTACGTTGGTAGGTAAGAGTTAGTGTGACGTGCTTCTATTTGACATTTCGGATTGTAGTTTAGCTATGAAACTCGTCATAAGTTATGGTGCGATGATGTGGTGGTTTGCTTAGATCAATAGGGGTACCAAAGGATCAGAAGGGGATTTGGAAGATGAAATAGAGCCGTCAGGCTTGTGATTCTATACTAGTGGCTGATTTAATAACTGTTGAAGTACAGTATAGTAGATATAATATCCTCTACGCTTCGTGGTGATTTTAATGTCGAACCCACAAGACATAGATGGCATGTACTATGCTTTCACCAGGACATGTATGTGAGCATCCACTAAATTGTAGATTATTCTGAGCGAAAAATGCCTCGTGTTATTGTCAAGTCCTGATATGCCATACCTAGGTTGGGTAGAGTCCCGTGGTATTTGATCATGGTAATATGGTTGTTGGTTAACTTTAGTGGGAACTAGCCATACTCAACCTATGTGTATAGTCGCTTAGTTGATGCGTGTAAGTAATTAACAATGGCTCTTCCATCAATGATTAGAGTCGTTGGCTGAAGCCGTGGTGCTGCGGTTAAATATATCATCAATTGTGACACAGGCAACAGTTTCGACAGGGTATGGAAAACTGTTGTTCAGTTATTCACTTGTTAGTACACACAGTATCCACGTGTCCAATGCGAAAACGGTGTTGGGTTTTAAGACTGTCTACTGTGTATTCAGCTTCAGTATGTATTTGAGCACAACATTCTTCGCAGCCTTAGGTAAAATCTAATGAGACATAGCCAGTTCGAGTACCTCTACTACAACAGTTAGAAAAGTTACTCTTAAGTACCATATCATATACACAATATCCTGGTTTGTCGGCTCAGGAGGAGGTATAGTCTACTGTGCAACTTGGGAAACCAGATTTACGTTGACAGACTCAGGGTTTGTGATTCCCCGCCATTATCTAATGTTAATAAGGGGAGGACCGGCATAATATGTACATCAAGGGCCTGAGATATGTCTGCAGGAGAGAGACCATCAATCAAGATATATTGTTATACCTTGGGTTGAAAAGTAGTACCTTGCAGTAGAACTCAAAGAGGAATATTTCGATGCGCCGAGACCAAGCACATATTGGTTCGTGCGATACCCGTCATAGGGTATACATGAAAAACTCATCGATAAGTACGTACTTTTTTTTTGGATCGGGATTTGTAGCGACTTTTCAGATGTCGTAGCAGTATTCAAGTGTGTGATACCTTGAGGATAGGTACCGTTGTGATACGTAGCTCTCTTCACAGTGTGACAGTGACGAGTGCTTTAGCTTGGCTATATTGGCCAGATTCCTTCAGAGCAGTGATATGCCGATGTCGTCCTTGTTCTGTCTGGCTGACATATTTTCTGCACATGGTGTACAACTTGTTTGTATGAGGATTCACTAGAGATGACTGGTTCATATTCAAGACTGGTTCAGTATATTCAAGACTGGTTCAGTATATTCAAGAGATGGGTCGAAGTCTATCATATATGTACACCTGCGATGCTGCCATTTCGAGGTTAATAACACAAGTATCTAAGTTGGCCCATCTTCCACTAATGCAGACCAGGTGGATTTGGGGCTTTTTCATCTGCAAGTTTAAAGTAGAGTTAGTTAGTAATTTGGGTTTATATAGTATTTTACAATCAATCAACTCTTTTATATAAAGTAATGAAAGTTTATAACAAGCCACCTAGCTATAAATAATAAAAAGTTGGCCTGAGTGGAAGGGGTTGATACGAGCGACCTGGGACCAATATAGTCAAATACGGGCACGTTACAGGAAAAACTTTGCGTTACACTTTGTGAGCCGAACACCCTGAAGTTAGAGGTTAATTTCAACAGAGCAGACCGCCTTTCGCTCAATACACGGTCCTTCTGCACAGGATGAGAAAAATTGTAGAAGTTGAATGTTTTGATATATTGCATACTACTTCATCGGGGGCTATTATGTTTACTAGAGGCGTCATCGTAGCGTACAACCTGGGTGGGGGTCACTGAGGTATGTTTATAAATATTGACTAGAAGGTATGTAGCGTGTGCTATTCTTCACAGGCGTGCAGCCATTAAATGGCCGAGTTACGGTGCAATTCTACATTGTATTTCCTTACCTGCAATCTATACAATTTGTCACAAATAACAGGCAAACAGCCTGGACGTAAGCAGAGGAAATAGTCGGATCAGTCCATACGAATCACATCTGAGCCATCTATTCGACTTCGGAGCCCATAATATGCTTTAATCGACATCAGAGATTAGTACTGCGTTGGTCTGGGATTTCACATTTATCTATCAAGAGAGTATCGAGATGGATTCTCCAGACTATCAATTCAAGACAATCATTTCCAGAGTTAGAAGTCGCACGGATGGCCAAGAAGTGCCGGATCTAATTTGGTGATGTCGTCGCGTGTTTGCACATCAATCGCTCAGGTAAATCTTGGAAGTGGATATACGCAATGTAACTAATAATGGTCCGGATTTCGTATATCCATGCAACGATAAGATCCACTGAACAAGTTCTGGCAGTCCACATTCATATAAGCGATGCTTATATCCACCAGTATTCATCTATACATATAGTATTAAGTGTCTAACACATATCCACTATGGAGCTAAGTGATATTTTGTTGTGTGTTTCGGTGAGGACCACAGCCATTGACTATTCTATGCGTATTCGATTGAAAGTTAAGATATCTTTATACTCGTTATATTACATGCAGTCCAATGAGTCAAACGCTTTGAATGATTCATTTAAATACACACGATTTATTTTATTTGTTCATTGGTTGTTACATATCATTTTTCAGAAGCGGTAGAATGGTGTGGCCAAGGCAGGGAGGGCAAGTATCGTCACCTCTATGTAGGAGCCAGTTCAAACCGTAGAGTATGCTGAGAGTCTGCGACTCGCTAACTGCACCGCATTCCTGTAGATCCCGCACAAGTATTAGGGTATAAACACTTGCGTATTAAATATATGGATGTTTTTGCATGCTGACCAATTTAAAAATATACATGGAGACGTTTCTACGGCAACATTTGCTTCTGCTTAGACATCTAGCGCTCCCCTTAACCTCTTTAAATGACTAGCGTTCCCATTTACCTCTATAAATGACTAGCGTTCCCCTTTACCTCTATAAATGAAAAAAGTTTCGTTCGAAAAGTCCTCTACCAGTATATTGTTTTCAATTTTTTTCGCAACCTTGATGATAACCTGGTGGCGACACAATATGTATACAAAGTTACGAATACAATAGTAGTCAGTAGGAGTAGATATATGCAAGCCACTAGATTGAACGTACTAGATTAAACAGAGACATGAATGCCTACACTTACAGCTGAAAAAGTGTATTACGAATTCTGGACACGATATCAGATGGTACTGAATTGCAGACAGATGAAAACACTCGTTACAAAACGACATATATATGATTATGCTTGGTTTGTAGATTCCTCAGGTCCTCGTAATGAATTGGCTTAATATAGGACATAGTGACCCTACCTTAAATGTGTACACGCCTCGTCCAAGGTGTGCGATCCGTTAACGTTTTCAAAATATGGAGGAGAATAAAACGGTCTGAAACACAGCTCCAAGCCAAGTGTTCCACCGAACTGCACAAAGGTTGAGAGAATATTATATTCTCGAGACAGTCAGAAGACTACGATGTCAAATTATTACCTCGCAAGTTATTTACCTTATCATTACAAGCGAAGATGCGATGTACTGGTTGTTCTCAGCGTCTAGACTGTGATAAACAAAATTTGAGCTATATAGATATCCGCAATATATTATTTTCAAGTGTAGTAGGTAGATCCGACAAAACACGAGCACTAACGTATACACATGCGTCAAATACGAATGCATTGCAGCTGACAATGCACATATTATACAACGCACAGAAATCAAGGACACAGAAGTCAAGGTTTACAGTATACTTATAGGGAGTGCTGTAGCTGAAACTGCATATATACTCGGGCATATACAAGTCTTGTCTTGTCTGTGGTGCCGATTTTCATGCCAAACGAGTTTATTATGCTATTTCACACCTTAATGGCACTACAGATTTTAATATCACTACACAGATTGAATAACATGTCGTGGAATGCATCCCATCGAGTTTGATTGGTCAGGGTTTGAACTCTTAGATGTTTCTAGTTTGAACGCGCTAGCTTAGAGACAGGCACTTTGATTTTATTTGTCGGATACGGAGAGACCCATGCACGATACATACACTCAAGGCTATAACGACAAGCACTCAGTACAGCTGAACACATTGTCAGCATCTACGCTAGAAATTGTTAAAAACAATATTAGACTCTTCTCGTCGGCCTGCGCCTTGTCAAGATATACTTCAGCCCGCACATAGCAGACTAGATGGTCAGACACAACAAGTTTTGCATTTTGAACTACCACCCATACTTAAAAAACAATATTGAAATTGGCATATCACCGTTTCGCTCTTAAGCATAAAAACCTGCATGGTAATCGGCCTCCTAGAGGGATCAACGGGCGCATATGTAGCACTGTACATATGTTGCATCAACATATTCAAAGGTCACACAACCACGCAGTTGAAAATGAAATCAACTAACGATATGTGTTATTTCTCCATTTATCACCAATTAACAAGTGCACATTTTATACTCCGCTGGCATTAAACAGTTAGAATGTTGAACACACAAGCAAAAATTTGAACACGTACACTCAGTGATGGTACACATATTTTGCATAAGCAAGCCCGCATTTTGCATAAACCAACCCATATTTTGCCCAATTTCACACTGCACTGCGTGACCGAACCCACCTCTCCAGGCCAGCTTGCACCTTCTCCAGTCGTCTCCAGCTAACAAGCGCACGCTTGATAACAAGCTGCGGTCAGAATAGGTAAAGGAATATCAGAGTTATACAATACACATGAGACAGCCCAGTATTATAGACGAGTAGATTATGTGTTATATGCGCACAATAAGCCGTTATAGTTACAACACAATTTCAATCGTATTGACCCGATTTTTCACGAGCTATGGTCGGTCGATGTCAACATTACCAGATGACAACACATATTATCCTTCATGCCCGAATTTGGGGTTGCACTCAACTTACCTCGAATGCACAATGGCTGATCAATGTGGAATAATTAAGTATTTGGTAGCAAGAACTAGTGTGATCGTATTCGAAGGAAAAGGCAGTAATGCACGAGATTGATGCTACTCGTGTGAGACTATATTGTATGATTTATCTGTCGACAAATGTGTGCATCTGTAGTCGGCACTTTCAATAAACTTCAGCCTACACATTCACGATAGGCAGGTATACTTGACAATACAACACCAAATATTCTTTGAATGCACGCTTCTATATGTGTAACTGAGAGATTTTCTGCATTACTTGCCACTATACACATACGCGATTGGTACTTGTGGCGTGTAAAGTGTAGCAAACACCAATCAGCAACTGCTGCTGTGAAAATATATGAAGAAGTTGGAAGAGAGAGAGCTAAAGTGCGGTTGGCGAATGCAGTCCCAAGATTGTATGACAGTCAGTATAGCAATCAAGTTCTTCAAACTGCATCCATCAATTACAATGAACCGAGTACTGAATGATGCTTTGACGTTCAAAATGGATACCGAAAGTTATAGGCGGATATCACGAATTTACTTATTTAAAAAAAACGGATGACTCCATGAAGGATCGCTGGGATATATTTTTACATTCTAAAACTGCGAGTGGAGCAGAATAAGTTCAGTTCGTGGTAACTCACCTGATTGCCGTACAACTGGCGCTCTAAATCAGAATCAACATCTAATATCGGAATGACGACGTAGGGGTATATAAGAACAATGATATAGCATGAATTTTGGACTACTAGATAGTAAATACAAATATCTAGCAGGTGATGATCGTCCATAGTTTAAAAAAAAATGGTGGCATTTGGTGCTTCGATAGTTCTTATACGTACGGCATATGAACACTTTGTGGATATTGCAATTTTGCAAGCCGCATGACTTATCACAATGCTAAGTCTATTGCAGGGATAGAAAACAGTGTGCTAAACTGCCCCATACAGAGAGTAGTATGCGATGGAGCTAAGTGATATAATAACTTGATGTACA